AAATATCACGAGTAGTGTAAATGTTTAATTACCCGAGCTTTCATATGATTACGTAATCGAATGACTGCGAGTGCAACTAGGATTACGGGTGATATTACACTACGAGTGACATTTGTAAATTTTCTTAAAATTACACCAGCCTTTAGTCGAGTGTTTTTTGTTTTAAAATTGCAAATGTTACGAGTAGTGTAAATCCTAAATTGCTCGAGCTTTCATGCTACTACTTATTTATTACATGAAAATTACGAACGCGCGCGCGTTAATTTGTACAGCAGCGCAAATTACAAAAGAACGATAAATCCGCCGGGCTTCAGCCAATCACAAGGAAGTTATTTCCTCAGTAATATAATAAAAAGTTATATTTGTTGACAAGAATATGAATCTGGGTAAATGGATCCAGAAAACCACTTAGAGGTTGGTTGTCAACTTGAAATTAAAGTAGAAAATTTTATTAATATTTGGACGGTGTAATGTTTTATTTTGTTTGTGAGGAGGTTCTTAATAACAGCATTGCAAAGCCATTTTTGTTATGATAATCGTTTTTCATAGGGAAATTAACAAACAAAGGCCGCCTATAGGTTGTCGGTTTGGAACACTTGCTGGCTTTAGTTCTTGCGCCCAGCTGCTCTCTACGGAACCGTTCCATCTTTATGTGAAGTAACAAAAGAATAGCAACTTGTGGTGGTGTAAATAAATCATCGCGTGCTTGGAGCGCAGAGCGGATAACTCCCTTTCGCCGACGCCAGAAGAAATTTACATTGTGTGTATCATCATTTCCAGTGAATTTGCAGAAATACCTTATTCTGATATCTTCACTTTCGATATAAAGCCAAAGGTAATCTTCTGTGATTTGACTTGCAAGCTGTGTAGGGCCATCAAGGAGTGTCTAATTGTAAGGTAGGTACACATAAAGTTAAAAATAACAAAAATAATAATAAAAAACGCCTAATGTACATCGGCCAGTTTAGAATTGCGTTGTAAGACAACACTTAGTTTGCAAAGGTATATTTAAAAGAAAAAATCGGGGAAACGATGAATAGAACAATTATTGAAGTAGCGAGGTGATAACAGTACAGTTAGCAGAACCCTGATATCATTTTCATCACAAGATACAATCCCGCCCAAAAATCAGTGCCACAGGGACTTTGAGTCATACGTACCGAACTGGCATTGTGCAGATTCGTTTTCACACGCACATGAAATTTTTCCTACAGCAAAGTCCCATCTGGTGTACTTCAATTTAGCGTGATTCACGGGAGACGTAAAATCAGGAGTCTAACTTAGGAAACGTAATAATGGTAGTTTGAAGAAGAATACTCGACAAATGAAAAAGAGTAAAGATCCATACATTATATGAAGTGATGCGAACATGGCATATGGTGAGAAAAGAAACTGAGAATGCGGGATATACTGCAATTGACCAACTTGAAAATCGAGGCTTGCCTTTGCTGTTTTGGATCGAATTATCTCGAATTCCATGAAAAAAATGTTATTGATTGAGGCATAAAATAATTCTATTGAATTTCCCCTTTTAGGTATCAATTTTTATTTCCATACATCAACGGAGCCATCTTCTACTTTAGTTTTAAGCAATTTACTGGAAAGCAAACATTGAAAAGCGAGCAATTTAGTGACGTGCCCTGAGTTACAATGACAACGCAAGTGACGGAGCAGTTTTCTACCAATTCCTTCAAAGTAAAAATGGAACTAATCCAAAACATAAGCCTTTATTCCAGATGGCAAGTGTTTGCCTGCAGTACAACTCTTCACGGGCTTAGACACGTCTTCGAGAAGAGCTATTCAATAGCTAAACGGGTCATTTGGCTTTTACTCCTATGGAGTTCCTCTGCCGCATTTTTGTATCTTCTGTCTGTCAGCGTACGCAAATTCAAGTCGAAGCCAATGAAGACAGTAGTATCCCAAACAACGCCGGCAGATGGCTTGAAATTCCCCGCTGTGACAATCTGCAATTTAAACAAGTTTATGAAATCCAAGATAGATGTGGCAGACGAGGATGAAAACTTTGCAAAAATGGGATTGAACATAAGTGGATGCAGCGAGATACGTCAAGTTCGTGGAAATCTTACGTGTGGCCAAGCGTTATTGTGTGCATATGTGTGGTATGGGACAGTCCTGGTTAACGGCTGCAATGAGACAATGCGACAAAACATAATCAAGGCACTCAACCACTCATCAGATCGTCTGTTTAACGAGGAAGAATTTCTTTCTCAGTATGGCCATGACATGGCGAGTATGTTTGTTCTCTACTGCCGTTTCATGAAAGAGGACACCTGTTCGGATAAAGATTTCGTTCCAATCTTAACGCAGTATGGCTTGTGTCACACCTTCAACTCTGGTCAAAATAACTCCGTGCTTCATGCTATATTAGAAGGCCCTGACCTTGGGCTAAATATTGTACTCGATGTTCAACTGAATGAGAGCACATTAAGTGAGTTTTCAACAGGATTAAAAGTGATTGTGCACGATCAAAATACATTTGTCAACCGACATTCTGGATTTAACATCCTTCCCGGCACGCACGCGTCAGTCGCACTCAAGTTGAGAAAGGTTAGTTACTGGTATAATACCCTTGGCGGGAGACCCCCTTATATGGGCTATATAGGTATGTACGGACCGAAAGTGTACGGTTTTCAGCCGTTTTGGTCAGAAATGCAGGGTATCGATTTTGGCTATTTTGGTCATAAATAGGGTATGGCTTTTGCACCCTAGTCTTGAACTGGGTATGTTTTTTAGAGGAAGCTCACTTTTTCAGGTCATATATAGGGTAGGGAGGATCGCAGATTTTTGTCATAAATAGGGTAAGGGTTTTGGGTGGCGGACCACACACCTCCACACAATTTTTCTGGGAGTACCCCCCGGTATAATATCACACATTCAATAGATCATTCAATCTCATGTGCCTATGAGGTATAAGCCCAAGGGGATACTCCCTATAACGGCTTATACGCGGGAGGCTCCGCCCGAAAGGGAAACCTTTTTCAGCCTTCAGATATGTGAAAGGGTAGGGAAATCTGTCATTTAGATATAACGTCAACAGGAACTGAATAAATGAAACCTATTTTTTGGTTAACATTTCTTCTGGTAATGCTTGATGTTCTGCCATAGTATTGTTTTCGTCGTGAAAGTACCTTATTCCAGTTTGCAACCACTTGGCTGTCTGCGTAGACCTCCTTGGTTTGCTTGTTTGTTTGTTTGCATTTGAATTCTTTATTTTGATTTGTTAGATTGCCAATTTGTGTTCAGAAAGCAAAATTCATAATTAGGAAACCCCAAATTGCAATTTTCGAATCACGATACAAACTGGCTTCTTTTCAATCCAATCGAATTGCTAAAGATTGTAATATTTCTGGACCTATGAATTGCGTTAAGGGCGCAAACAACCCCAAACTGAATACCTTGGACATTCTTCAGGTATTCCTCTTCTAATTCTTTTCAAATCTAGCACAAAAGACTTCAAGCGCCATATAAAACAAAATGCCAACAGGATAAACTGCCAGGAATTGGGTCGTACACCAAGGACGGCTGCCTTTACCAATGTGTCGCAAATAAGACCCTAGAAAAATGTGGCTGCCGTCGTCTTGGAATGCCAGGTAAGATCT